GAGAGAGAGAGAGAGAGAGAGAGAGAGAGAGAGAGAGGGAAAGAGTGACGAGTCGTTGGCTTTGCCATAGGAGCCGTGCATCGCTGGGCTCGAGGCGGTCTCGACCGGATCGCGCACATTGTTGGACGCCAATTTCAGGAGACTCATCGCTTGGCGTCGTGGGACCGAGGTGTGGCGCTGGTTCATGGCTCACTTCCGCAGACGAATGCTCTGCACGAGCTGCGCTCTACGATGCTGGAGCTGACAGTGAGATCCGCTCGCCTCTCACGCAGTCCGGTCGTTCCTCCTCAAACGCGCCGCAGCAGCAGCAACAGCAGCAACACGGTTATCAGCAACAGCAGCAGCCGCACCAGATGTATGGGCAATCGAGCCTATCTGCAGGGCTGTACACCAATTCCGCAGGTCAAGCTCAATGGTCGCAGAACGTATCCAACGCCAACGCCAACACTTCATCACGCGGTCAATCTCGAAATGACGCTTCGCAGCAGCAACCGTTCATATCTCCGCATGACGTCCACAGGCAGACAAACAGCAGCGGTTCAGCCAGTCATATGATGTCGTTAGGAGGGCCAATGTTGGGATCGCATCCTCATGTCGCTTCTCCAACCTACGCTGCAGAATCTATCGGTGCCCCTAGCCCCGTTGCGGACGTCGCACCGACCAAAGCCAAGAGAGCGCCTAAGCCACGAAAGCCTGCGCCAGTCCGCTTGCCCGAGGTAGTGGCCACACCTGTCCAGCATCCCGCACCTCTTACCGCAGCAGCACCTGCAAAAGGCGTACCTAAGAGGAAGCGAAAGGCAGCTGCGGAGGTGGAACCCGCCCCAGCTCCGGTGCCGTCTGCTCCAAAGCCCGCACCTGCCGCAGCTGCAAAGCAAAGTGGCAGGAAAAAGGCTCGAATCAGCAAAGGCGCGGCGGCAGCAGCTCCGGCACCTTCTCCTCCGGAACCTGAACCAAAGGCAGCTGCATCTAGCAAAAGGGGCAGACCGAAGGGCAGCAAAGACAAACCGAAAGCTTCTAGCGGGCCGGAAAAGGAAATCACCATGTATGATGGTCTGGGGACGCCACCTCCTCCTGAGAACCCTATGCCTCCCAAAAGGAAACGTGGCAGACCTTCCAAGAAGGATACGAATGCTGGCGGCGAGGTCGCTGCGCCAAAAGGGAGAAAGACGGTCATTGCTGATGCTGCGGTGCCACTCTCGCCGGCGCCGCCGCCACTGGTCGCTACAGCATCCGTTGGTCCGCCTTCTGGCAAGTATGGAGAGGATTGGAAAGAGGTGAGCCGTTAGTGCCGTAGTTGAAAAGATGATGCAAAGCTGATTCGGATTGGGCGCCCTGTACAGCTCTTTTTGGAGCGCCTTCACAATACACGCATGTTCGGATCGATGATCGAAGACGAAGAAATGCAGGAGGAATTTGATGGCTTGATTCGAAATCTGGAAGAGATGGCTAGCGGGTCTATGCCTCGGTAACCCCATCCATACGCGTGTTGCGAAGGGCTCTCTTTCTCCCTATCTCTTTTGTGCCAAAAATGCATATTTGTACCACCTTGCAACGCATAGCTGAATCGTGAATGCTAGCATGGCTCGTTGCGCTGCTCAGCGCTGCGACGTTACTGCACATTTCCACGCAGACGGAAATTTCTCAGCCGCGCTGAATGCATGGTATAAGCGATTGCACCCTATTTTGGCAGAGCGATACAGAGGTGCTTTGCACAGTCTTTTTGCCTTGCGGCGCTTGGAGACTTTCGAGGCGCTCTCGGAGTCTGGGAGCAAGGTCTTTGTATGCGCTTGGGTTGATGGGTAAGAGCCATTCTTTCAACCTGTTCCACAGACTGAGTCCGACGCCCGCATCAGCTAACAGCTCGTCGATGGTGTGGAGAGAAAAGGGGACAACGTTTGTGCCTCGTGCATGATGACCGCCCGATCTCTTTCCGAGCCATTCGAGATCCAATTCGGCCTTGGTGCGCAAGATGTCCAATTGGGCTTCGCGAGAAAGGTTGGAAGAGGGCAACATTCTCCTTCCTTGAGACAAGTACGCTGCGATCCAAAGCGCCACTGCTTCTGAGGATGTCGGACAGAACAGAGAGGAGCTGAAACCGTTGAAGGTGATGCCTGACGCTAGCGGAGAACATGGCAAGACTCTACGATAGAGGACCCAATTTCCGGAGTCGTCCAAAAGACTCTCTTGCACGTCTTGCGGCAGAAAGGTGGGCGCATTTTGTTCCCAACCTGTACCGCAAATGATCACATCGGCATCGAGTGTCGTCTCGCTGGCTCCAGCGGACGCTTTGGACTCGACGCCATCCGCAACGGGACGCGTGGGATCGCTATCGTCGGCCTTTGAGCTCCTCTCGGAGCTGATTGGGTAGATAGTGATCGTCCCCTTTGCCAGTCTCTGGATGCGATAAGGCGCCTTGACGTCTATGTCACCTCGCTTGACACTACTGAAGAAGTGAGGAGTGGCAAGACTGATCTTGGCGCACGCAATCTCTTCGAACGGAGTGGGCGGCACCAGTCCCAAGCTGTCCAGTCCGAGCTGAAAGCGGACCAGGGAAGAAATGCTGCCTAGCATAGCCTCCCTCAACCACCTGAGCGGACCGTGATGCAAAGCCTTTTCGAGGGGATTCGTGATGCGAATGTAGGGGAACAAAGCTTCGCCTAGTCGCGTGAGAAGCAAGTATTTGTATGGTAAGAACCCTCCGAGCTTGCGTGGGAGCTTGTGCAGTAGGCGTTTGGCTACCAGCGTGACTGAGGCTGCTGGAGCCAGCGAAGCCGCGTAAGCAAGATCGTGTGATGACTTGCCGTAACCTAGTACGCTGTGAAGCAGCGCAATGCATGAGCAACTGCAGCACTTGGTCAAGCCGGCCGTCTCATCTCGGACTTACACCACCTTTTTGCCTTTCAATGTCTTGCTATCATGGACTTGGCTCGAGTGCAGCACTTGTCCACCATTTGCCTCAAATTCCTCCTTTCCCTTCAAGTTGGGAAGGTGCGGTTGATCAAAGGTACCAGTGCAAATGACAATGTGATCGAAATCTTCGGCTTGTCCGTGCTGATCGACGACTTGCCATTTGACCGGTGCCAGTCCACCTTCTACTTGACGATCCACCAGCTCGGCCGTGCTTCTCTTTATCCTTCTCGTCTCCACCACTCTTGTTCCTAGTCTCATTCTGCTCTTGAGATCGTGCTGATCCGCATACGCATGAAGGTATTCGCATACCTGTTCGCCTGTCGGCCATTCGGGGTAATGCTTCGGCATCGGCAAGCTGGAAAGCGCATATGTATCTTTGGTGTTCTGGGTCGTCAAGCCTGGATATCTGCGAGAGTCGCTCCAGACTCCGCCGGCTGAAGCGGCCGCTTCGTATATTGTCACGTCATGACCAAAGTACTTGAGCACCGAAGCGGTGCTCAGGCCAGAAAAGCCAGAGCCGACGATGCACACTTTCATCTCAATCAAGTGCAACGATAGAAGAAAGGGAAGCCCGTGGGAGACGGCGAACGATCGGGAGAGGTGTCGCAGATGGTATAGAAACTCGTCAGCGAGGACACGGGGCGCACCGTATGATGCACACTTTAGCGAGCTTGCACAAATGAGGGCATCAGCCGGACCCGGGGGTGTGCCGTGAAAGAAAGTCCGAGGTGAGTCTACGGCGAGATCTCACAGTTGCAGCTGACACCGACGAGGTGCTGATGATTTCAAACATTGTGGCCGTCTCCATCAGAGTGCCAAGATAAGCGCAGAGCACGCGGTAGTGTCGGCCAAGCGGAGGAAG